CCCGCCGTTCGTGGCGGCGCGCCAGCGGATGCGGTCGATCGGGCCGGGCGAGCGCGACCGCGCGCGCGGCGATCCCGTGCCCGCGCCGGAGTTGGAGTTGGAGTTGGAGCGGACCGAGAGCGCGCCGAAGGAAAGGGTGCGTTGGCGGGGGAGGTCGTCTTGGACCGCGGGGGCCGGAGGAGGAGGGGTGGCGGGGTGTGCGGAGAGGGTGAGGGCGAAGGAGGGCGTGTCCGGGCCCGAGTCGGTGCCGGGCGAGCCTGTGGAGCGCGAGAGGCCGAGGCGGATGGGCGAGATGGAGCGCGCGGGGCTTGGGCTGGCGGAGCGCGGAGAGAAGGGGGAGGAGGAGGAGATGGAGCGCGCGCGGCCGCGGAGGGGAGGCGAGGACGGCGCGCTGAGGCTTATGCCGCGTCCGTGGGCTGCTGCTGTCGCTGGCAGCGCTGGAAGAGGTGGCGGCTCGGGGAGGGGTGTGGGCGAGGTGAGCACAAGGTTGGGCGCGGAGGTGGAGTGCGGGTTGAGCGGGGAGGAGACGCGCACGGTCGAGTCGGAGCTCGCGGAGGAGAGCGGGCCTTGGGCAGCGGGACGACGGGAGACGCTTGGAGGAAGAGGTGGTGTCGGTGGCGGAGTAGACATTGCTTGAGTTGTATTGTTACTGCGTGGTCCGGCGCGAATGTCGCTTATGAGCCCTGGAGGTCCTTATGGCACGTATAGTGATACGGCCTGCGCGGCTGTTGGAGGCGGCCAGATGACTTGCTTACACCCACTTGCTTTGGTTCGCCCGGAGTGCCCGCAGCTAAGGAGCTGTTGTATGAGTTATGGAGGTCAGCGACGGCATACCGACGGCTGTTTGATGTCGGGGACTTACGTGCGCGCACTGACGAGGTCCCCGGGCAATACAATGTGTGTGATATGACTGGCTGCCGCGTTGATCTGGTCAGATCCTTGCGGGGGAGGCGGTGGACCGCACAGCGTACAGATAGGCGCCCGACGCGCGATCCTGCTCAGACGGAGGGCGATGGTGCTAGTCCAAGCATAGATGGTCGACTCCGGGCTGCGGGCTTGATGTACTGTGCCGCTGGCCGGCGCCGGTTGGAGAGACCAAAGGAGGGTGCTGAGCGGCGAGGTGGCTGGACGGAGGGCGGAGCTCGCTGAACTCGGTCGGCTTTGCGCTCGTTGCCCCGCTCACACGCCCGCATCGGTCATTCGCGCGCCAAGGATGGAGACCACGACTACGTTGTCGGATTCATCGCCACGACTCTCCTGGGGCACTGAATGATAACGGGCATCAACTTGATTCGGGCGTGCTAGTGTCGGCCTCCTTCGCGCTCGAGCGGAAACAAAACTAATGTGGCTGTGTATCGTTTCTTATCCACGTCGTCTGCTGTCAGACGCCCTCAAAGTTCGCAAATGTGCTCTACCAGGGCTACCTCTCATACTCGCATCGGTCCTATTCCGAAACCCCCCGGTGTACTACCATCTCCGGACCACGCCCCCACCTCCATCGTTATTGCGACGCGTCCGGATCTCATGGTCGGGTGCCAGTACTGTAACGTCGGCCTCGGGTCCAGGATCCTCCAGCCAATCGTCTCGTGGCAATTCTCGTCCCGTTTGCGTCCTTGACACGAAGGCGAAGCTCGCCAGGTCTCCCCTTGCTCTGCTTTTGCTGACGTTGGCGTCCAACCCCGATCCGAGGGACAACCGACGGTGCCCTGTAGCGTAACCTTCGGCTCCGCCGACGACGCCACGTCCTGAAGCCCTACCGCCTCCGAACGAGAATGCGGACCGCGGAGTCAGATCGCCTCGTGTCATCCGATAGGGCGTGAGAAGAGCTCCACCTAACGAAATTCAGCTGTCGTTCAGAAGTGCAACTGCAAGTCTATGTACTGCGGATATCAAACAAAAAAACACCTGCCATACAACCGTGCAAAGGCCTCGGCCCTCGCTGTCCAAGCTCAAAGGCCGGTGTTATATTCGCATGCGGCCGCGGGCGCCTGTTGCAATATAGGCTGCCAACCGCTGGCATATCCGGGGAGTTCCCAATCAACGTTCGCGCGGATCTTTACTTGCTGCATCCGCCGGCAGCTGGTCGGGTTATTGCATTAAGTCAGCGGGTGGCAGCGCTCGCCAAAACAGTGTTGACCGTTACCCCCGAAGTGCCCGAAGTTATGGCACGGGGGCAGCCCTCTCGATGCATGCCATAACTGCGCAAAGACAGCCAAGCCATCCCGGTCCCCAGTCTTGCGGATCGTAGCCCCCCAAATCGATATCTTCGGCCGACGGCCGCGTGCTTGCTATGGAAGTTCGGCTCGCCCTCTGAATCCTGGCTGGCGTGGGGGTTTCGTACTGGACTCCAGCGTCCCGACTCGAGGGATCGCGCAACCCAAAAACCGTCCTCGTTGCCGGGACCGTTCGATCGCACTCTTCCGTCTCTCGCATCATCTGGTAACGGTCTATTGCACCATGCCCCACGTGCTCAGTTGCAGCAGCTTTGAGCTTCCATACGGGCCATTTTCCCTATCGGGCGCTCTGTGTCGTCGTTGTGTCGATTTCGTCCTGGCTATGAGCTCGGGATTAACTCGGGCCGTTCACCGCCCGGATAACACATGCCCATTGCTCAAGGTGAATCCGGCCCTGACGCGTCGACGGCGTCCACGGAGCATCCACGGGGTCCGGCGGGACAAGTCATATAGGATGTTTGCCAACGGATAAGGTGTGCGTTTCGCATATACTTATATACCGTCGTTGGTACATTGACGACTCCCCTCCCCCCAAATGGAGTCAGTGGGAGAGCGTAATATCAGTAAATGATCCTATAACTCCAGGTCAATTTGTGCTATACGCATGTCATTGTCAGACTGCACCAATCAACAATAAACATCCCGACTCGTCTCTCAATGACGGCGCCACTCGCACACACGGGGCTCATAATCAAGCACGTCCTGCAGAGCATTGTTAGAAAAAATCAACGTATCGATGATGATAGCAATAAGTATATTGTACGGGATATCTATATACTCCTACAAGTGCTCCTAGTGATAAATATGATATTAATTTACAGCAGATGTCGCACCACCTCATTGTTCCGCAGCGCCTCCAATTTACGCTGCGTCTCGCGTTCTTCCTCCTGCCACGACTCCCAGATGCGAGGCTCCTCGATGAAACGTTGTCGGCAGTCGTGGCATCTAAGAAAAAAATCGGTTAGGTGAGCCGATGCGGCAAAATGAGGCGTGAACGAGCGCGACGAACCTGATATAGTACGCCGAGGGCGAGAAACCGTAGCCGAGAAGGAGACTGTTTCGTCCAAAAATCAGCCACATATCCGGGGAGGTGGTTGTCAGACGGCACGCACAATTCGGGAAGCGTCTCGCCGACGGCGTCGATGTCACCCTCCGGCAGACAATCTTCGCAGAAGGCCTGGGGGCACGTTTGGCATCTGGCATAGGCATTGAGTGAACCCGCCTACAGCATCAACATAGGTCAAAGCTCACCTGAAGAGCATTCCGCCTGCGTCTCCCGTGGAGCGATTGCACACAACGCACGAATGTTGCTCGCATATAATCGCAAAGTTCCTCTTCAGTTGTGCCGCAGTGAGCCCGCGACACTCCTTGTGGAATACTGGAGCATCCAGGCGCCGTCAATTCGAGGTAGGTATGGCATAGCATAACGAACTCGCCTCGAGGACACCGCCCGCAGCACACGAGCTCGCCACCATCTCGACAGTAGTGACACCAGTCCTCGCTATCCCACTTTGCTTTGCCTTTCTGCTTTGCCTTCGGCTCCGCCGGAGCCTTCACGAACTATTAGGAAGCCATCCTACAACAGTCGAAGCAGAAGACTCACAGCAGCAGGCACGGTCCTCGCCGGGATCTCGATCCCATCCATGATCACCCTCTTACCCTTGGCCTTCTCCTGCAGCGCCTGCCACTCGTTGGCGATCTGGTGGTTCTTCTTCTTCCCCCGCTCGATCAGCTTCCCCTCGAAGATACGGCTCTGTACCTGCGCGACTCCGCTCAGCAGCTCGCGCTCCTCTTCCTCTGCGTCCGCGAGGGCCTTCGCATCTACCTGCTCCGCATTCGGCGCGAGTTCGTGCTTCATCTTCGCGTCACGCGTGCCTTCGGCCGCACGCGAGGCGTCGAGGACGGAGGAAAGCGGTGCGGAGAGGAACTCGCCGAGGGACATGCCTCCATCGGTAGAGAGCGCGCTCGAACCCTTCCGTAGGATATCCATGAGCTCGCTGGATCTGAGAGTTGATGACGCGTCCGTGTTCGACGGGTTGTCAGAGCCCATCACCTTGGGATGGAGGAATCCGTTAACAAGGCTTATGAATCAGTATACCGGATAGCTTTTACCTTTACGGAGAGGAACAGTTTCCTACGAATTCGATCTAGCATCTGATCTTCGACCGTGTTATGGCATATAAGCCGGTAGACCTGACGAAACGATGAGCATTCCACAGCATGCTCGACGAGAGGGTATGTTCACCTTGACCGTGTTCGTCTGACCGATTCGGTGAGCGCGAGCGATGGCTTGCAAATCGTTCTGGGGATCCATGTCAGCGACGCGTGAGGCCGCGGGCAAATCAGGACGCACTTGAGGGTTCCAGTCGGAGTCACACATGATGACCGTGGTCGCCTTGGTGAGGTTGATACCTGCAATGTTATGAGGCTTCGGCCCAGCCCGGTATGAAGACGGGACATTACCGAGTCCGCCGGCCTTCGTTGAAATGAGGAATACACTGTACGGTGATTTATCCTGCTGGAACTGCGCGTATTTCCGATTCGCGTGAGTATACGCGCTGTGGCATATAACTGATGACGAACTAGCTTGATATCAAGCGCGCGTCGCGGGCGCGTCGTACTTCCGTCTAACCGCGCGTAGGGGATGGAACGCAACGTCATGAAATCCTCCAATATATCCAACATCCTACGTCAAAACTGTGTCAGTGAGTGATATTACTGTGTAGATGTCGATCTCACCCTGTCCATTGCGAGAATATCAGCACCCTCTCGCCTCGCGGCAAGACATCCGCTAGCAACTTGTCAATCATGATGAGCTTCGATGAAGCCGCCACGAGATGCTCTCCGATCACGATTGGAGAGGGCTCCGCGTCTGGCAAGAGGTACGGGCTACGAGAGCGCGTCAGGACATATCGCGCTGCCAATCAGCGAGCGCGAACGTACTGATCGCACACTTTGCGGAGCTGCATAAGAAGGTTCATTAGACGTTTCCATTCTGTTTGATTATTAGTTTCCAAATATTCGGTGGTAGCGGAATGGGCGATGACCCACGGTTTTGCTCGCCCGTCTTAGTCATGCCGCCCCGAACCTGCTCCGTGATGTGTCTCAACACCTCCCTTCGCCCCTCTTCTAGCTCGCTATCCCTCCCTTCCGTCTTCACCGCGGACCTCGAAAGCTCTTCCGTGAATATCTGCTTGAGGTCGACGGCATCTAATCTCGTAAGCAGCCGGAGCGTCCAGAACCGCTGGGCCTCGGTGAGAGGGACAAAAACGGTGTATTCCTCCCTTGGGGGAACGGACATTTCGACGTTAGCCTTGGTGCGCCGGAGCATTATCGTGCCTATAAGCACGATCGACGTAGGTCAGAAACGAAAGAACGAGCACGCAGTGTATGCGAACGTACGCAGAAGCTGTTGCGCGGCCTTGATGAACGGCAGCGAATATGAACCCTTTGATAGGTCGAAAGAGTTGCGGAACATGTTCTCCGACGAGGCCGTGAAGACCTGCGGATAGAGCCAATGAAGGAGAGACCAGAGCTCGTATAGATTGTTGTGTATCGGCGTGCCCGTCAGGACTGCAAGTCATGAAACGTCGGCAATCAGCGTTGGGGAAGAACAGTGGCGTTCGGTATACGCACTCAGACGGTACATGGCGCTGATGCCTTGGATCTTGCTCGAGATGTTTGTCTCCGCATTTTTTATCTTATGGCCCTCGTCAAGCACGCAGTACGTCCACCGTCGGCTCTTGAACCAGCCATCCTCCACTGCATACGCATCGTACGTCGTCACACATATATCATACTGCTCCTCGCCGTTCTTCACTGCCTCCTTGATCCTCGCGCGTTCTGCGTGAGTGCCGTGAAAGCGAAGGGTGCGGAAGGAGGGTACAAAGCGCGCGGCTTCGGAGAGCCAGGATGGGAGGACTGAGAGCGGGCAGACGATAAGGTGTGGGTCAAGCCGCGTGCTTTTGGAGTGTTCGGCGATGTACGCGAGGAGGGAGAGGGTTTGAAGAGTTTTGCCTAGTCCCTATATACGCTAGGAAGTAAGATGCTGGAGACGATACAGCGAATATAGCTGAAAGAATCACCATTTCGTCGCCCAAAATACAGTTCATTCCGTTCTTCCACATCCAAACTAGAAAACTAAGTCCGTGAAGCTGGTAGTCCTTCAAAGTTCCGCCGGTAACAAGCTTGGGTTGCTCGTCCAACTCGTGAAACGGGATATATTCAGTGCTGCCGCCCTTGACAGGCGCTTCGGAAGCGGCACTTTCGATCTCTTTCTGGAGGTTCAGAAAGAACGTCGACGATGCGGGTAGGAGCGGCACGAAGAGGTCACGATGTCGGTATAGCCACCGACGGCGGGCGGCCTCCACTGACACTTTTCGCGCATTCACGACGATGGTGAGCTACGCATATATGCGGCATATCAGCATCGCATTGAGAACTGGCGTGATCGACACACGTACCGCCTTTTTGTCCTCCATCGTAACTTTCTTTTCCTCCTTCTCCTTCTCCTTTTTCGTCTTCTTCAGGTTGTGTTCCTGCTCGGGATGATTTTCCACCGTCGAAGAACTCGACGCTTTGCGCTTCAACGTGCGCGGGAGCTTGAAATTCCCTTCACCCTTTCCGGTAATATAACTTGGGATGGATTGCCTAGGCCGCAGGGACCGTCGCGCGTCGCCAGGCGCCGGCACCGTGAGCTTGATTGGGGCGGAAAGCACCAAAGGCTGCATGGGGGGTGGCGATAACGCGTGCATGATGTCCAATTCGTCGTGCTCCATGTTGTCTGGAGCAGGAAGCGCCTGCATGTCCATTTTGACGCGTCTGAATCTGCGAGGGAGATCAGATGCTGTGTGCGTTGGCGCGCCGGAGGATACGCGACCTTTCGGACACGAAACTCACGCCTTCCAAGGGATATCAATGTATATGCAAACTGTCCAGAGCAAGAAAGGGCTAAGACGCGGTCCCTGGTTGAAGAGGTCGTTCCAAGCAACAAAACAATCGGGATAAGGGGGCCGTCGTCCGAGCTGTACGGCACGGTGAGCTCGACGCGCTAAATTACATGCACGTGATGCACTGCCGACTCAGGGCAGGCTTGGCCGGGGCTTGTCTGCATCATCTGAGCGAGCCTGTCACGACTTCTTCCGCTCCGTCGGCACCCCAGTTACATCCTCGCTTTCGGTACTATGCTGCGACTACTGGCGGTGAGTAGCGTCATCGGTCTTGTAAGAATCTAGATACTATTGGTCTTCCTAGTCCCGCAGGGCGTTAGCTGTAACGGCAGCTGCAGCTGTTGCAACCATTCCCGAGGACAAGGTCTGTCTATAATGTTCTTCATCCGGCACCCGCACTGACCATGCAACCTTGATCGTACCCGCTTTCTTCACTACTTGGAAATGTGTGATATCACCCAGCTCCCGATATATCCCAAGCCCGACCCTCAAGTGGTCCTCGTCCACGAATCCTCTGAGCTCGAGAAACAGATTGGCACAGCGCGACGGGCTGTAACGCAGGCGTACGCCAACACCCACGCACGCGCACAAGACCTCGTCTCAAAATGGATCGGTGTTGAACACGCGGTCGAATGTGCGTTTACTAGCACACTGGAATCACCTTTCACTTTACTCATTTAGTTGCTTCAGCTCGCGTCAAGTCCATCCTCGACCCCACCGAGCCCCTCACGCCAGGCATCCTCTACGTCGGCGTCGCGACGCTGACCGGGTCCATTGTCGCCCGCAACCGCTTCTTCCTAACCCGCCTCGTCCTCCCGCCCGCACTTCTCGTCCTCTCCGCACACCACTTCCTGCCCAAAACGAGCGCGAATCTCGCCGACTACCTCGGCTCGCTCGAAGACGCGCACCTCCCGCGCCTCGCTCAGGCGCACGAAACCGCCAAGGCGCATTCGGCGATGACGTGGGAGCGGATAAAGGACGCGACGGCGGAGGGCCGCGCGGCGGCGGGCGAGAAGGTTGTCGGCGCCGCAGCGTGGGTCGAGGGTGCGACGGGGTTGAAGCTGCGGGACGCGATGGGCTGGTCCGAGGCGCGGGCTAAGACAGCAAACGCGAAGACGCCCGAGATGGTGGAGGCGGCGAAGGAGAAGGTGGCCCATGTTGTGGAGATTGCGAAGGGGAAAGCGGCGGAAGCGGTGGAGGTAGCAAAGAGCACAGCGATCGAGAGCAAGGCGGCTGTTAAGGAGACCACAGACGACGCGGAGAAGGCTGCGAGCAAGAAGGTGGAGGAGGTCAAGAGGCTGGTCTGAATGACCCATTCCGGCTCTCATTCGTGCCGCAGAGATACATTGAGAGTATGCGACGACGCTATAGACTAATTTTCAAGCTGTACCAGACCTGCGTGCACCGACGAGTGATTCTAGCCATGGTAAGGTAAACTGCCCTAACATCTCACAAACCCGGTGGACCGGCGATCCCGTTGCCGCGTCTATCCCAATCGACGGGGAGCAAAGCATATTAAGTATGGAGAATAAGATATGATCTTTGTCTGGATGCGCCGCCGTTCGCGACATGCTCCCCGGCGCAACTTCCGTTCGTGTCTCGGGGTGGGTCTTGATTCCGGAAGTGATACCCTCCCTGTTAAGGTCGCGTGCAATATTGAAGCTTGAGGACCAGTCGTCGACGGTAACGGGGACCCTCCGCCCTCATTTCTTCCCAATCGCGTTCCCCTGCGCACCCAACACCTCGCCCATCCATTCCGTCCCTTGCTCGCCCTCCCCGAACCTCCTGTTGAACCTGCCCATGCGGCCCGTCATCTGTCCCTCGTTCTCGAGCTCGCTCGTCTTGCTCAAATCGCCAAGGTTCCACATCGGGTTGTTTGTCACGTCGCGTGTCAGCCGCAGCAGGCTCCGAGGCGAGGTCGTCCAGTGCACGAACGTCGAACCGTCCGCGCGGATGACTTTCTGCGGGAACTGCGGCACGACGGGGTTCGGAAGCTTGTTTGCGCGTCGCCGCCAGACGTGCGTGCGGCCGTAGGGAGACGAAGAGATGCTTCGTGTATGTGTGGACGCCACGACGGGCGTGCAGAGTGTTTTTGAGTGGGACAAGGGCGCCGCCAGACGAGAAAGAGTGCAGAGAGCGGCCATTGATGGTCGTTACGAGACGGCTCAGAGTGAGTTGTGAGGACCCTACAGACAAGGGCTTGAGCTCAGACTCAAAGTGATGGGTTGTGGAGAGATTCGATCTTCCTCCTGAGCTTGCCAATGCCTGGCAAGTGCCCGCCCTAAGAAGAAATGTCACGTGCTCTCCTCCTAGCGGAAGCAGTCGCGGGTTCGTGGCCGCCATCTTTGCACCAGGAATACCTTATCCGATCAGCTCGAACATTATTACAAAAGCTACGAGTCCTTGCGCGTCACGACCATACAATTGTGAGCCGAAACCTCCCAGAACGCTCCGGCGCTGTTGCAAGACTGCACAACATTCCATCACGGAATCGTCAGAGCAAGCGCTTCTTACATCTGGCGACACTCGTCCAAGGATACCCTGAGCTTATGATGTATGGCACAGCTCGCGTGGGTCAGCCAGGCTGACAAGATGCGTGTCAGAGGTCGACTGGCAGCGAGAAAGATATCTGATCCTTTATGTTGCACAGCCGAGGGAATCCCCAACCTGATGTGCGCCTACGGACCCCGCCATTCTTGTTAGCAGCCATAAGGTAGCTTGAGCGCTCCCTGGCAGTCCCTGACCCTCCGGCGATATCTACTTGCGATGCCTCTGCCTTCAGCTGAAGTTTGATCCCTGATGCCAACTCAGAAGCCACGAGTTTCCCGGCTTGTCTGCATGAACGCACACGTGGATCTGCCTAGGACATCATGGCTGCCCTGCCTGCGAGGTTATATATGATCGTCCGATGATCCTGATGCGCCGGTTGTCTTGTAGCCGCCCACTCCGCCTCTTCTTGTGCCGTTGAGGAATGCCTGGGGCGTTCTCTGCGGCCAAGGCGTATACCATTGGTGCAATATGTGAAGGAATCCTTCATGGTGAGTCGTCATCCTCAATGGTATTGCGCTTCTGTAAATCTCAGACACCACACGCAGCGGCTTATACCGCCATCTTTGGTCTGGTCATCTTCCTACTCCTGTATGTCTTGCGTAGGCTCTATCCACATCTCATACTCATAACCAACTTCGATAGCCGTACCCATTCGTGGTCCGCAGTGAACAAGACACTCATATGCTCCACTGTCCTCATATACCTGCTCTCCACGGCACATTTAGCTTTGACGTGCTTTCAAGCTCTACAAACGCATCGAGACACGGAAGGGATACTAACGGACCCAAGCGCCCCGAGAAACTACGTCCAGGTGCATACCCCTCGTACCCCTTCGCGCACGACGATAACTGAGACGTCATACAGTACATCATCGAAGGCATCACCTACATCTGTGCTGATAGCGTCATTATCTGGAGAACGTGGATCATCTGGGGCCGTCGCTGGTGGGCCTTCGCCGTCCCTGGCCTGCTCGTTTGCGGGACAATAGGCATGTTCTCTTCTCCGCTACTGCGTTTGCATGCCGCATGCTGATTCGACACCAGCATCCGGGATCGGATACGTGTGGCAGATGTCGATCGCCACCAACGTCCTGATTCTGCATGATGAGGCCATGGTCCGCTGGGGGATACTGTTCTCGGCATTCACCTTGGGGACCAACGTTGTGGTTATGTTATTGATCGCGCTTCGCGCATGGTAAGCGGGATTCAGCTAGCTCATCGCCCTCCCCTCTCATGACTAGCTCAGGGTCCACCACAAGGAGGTACACGAGACGCTCTCCGACTCCGGCTCTACGACGATCCGGTTGCTCATCTTAATCACCGAGAGCGGCCTCTGGTACTGTCTGGTTTGGGTGGTCTACGTCGCTGTACGAGTAGGGACGTCAAGCAACGGCGAATACATCGTCCAGAGTATGCTCGCGCAGCTGACGGTACGTTTCCGCGTGTCTCTTTCCCATCTCTCCGCCGACGGTTTTCTCGGTCGTGATTTTACCAGGGGATCTACCCGTCCTGCGTCGTGGTCTTCGTCTATCTGCGGTATTCGCGACGACCCATGGAACAGCTATCCACCAGCTCGAGGCTACCGGATTTTCGTCGATTGACCGGCATGACGGCCGGAGGCTCGTACAGAAACGTCACCGTCTTGGGGTCGGCGGTAGCATCATTCCTGGCCGACGGTGATGACGACCCGGAGAAACCCAGGCGGCAAGATAATGCATAGCAAGAGCAGAACCCGACAAACAGCTGATGTACACATATTGTTACAGCATGCTATACCATTCCTATTTTATTCGACAGATGCGATCCAGGTGCACGTAATCCTCATTCATGAGTACCTTCCATCGTTCCAGAGCGAGTCCTCGGTCGAGCGTATGCCATCAATGATCTGGGAATACGGATGAACATCGCCTTGAAGGTAGAAAATCCTGGACGTACCGAGCCTATAGCAATGAGCCCAAAGCTCTTTGCACCAAACGTGTTCTTGGTGGTCTCAGCGGCCGCGACCCGCCATGCCAGCCACGCCTTCTTCAGCCATTTCTCGTAGGGGTCCGCGTCCTCGCCGGCCAAGTCCGACCTGACGCTGTTGACCACGAGGGCGGACTGCTCCCGCATCTTCGCCATGACCTCGCGGCGCTTGCGTGGTTGGGACGTCTTCGCAACGATCGTGCCGACGACCACCTCTTCCTCGGTCAGCGGCATGCCGCGCCGGCTTTGGGAAATAGTATGCGTGTCGCAGAGGTAGAGCAACTCGCTGCAATACTTGTCGAAAAGCTCGCCGACGCTCTCCACCATCGTCGGGTCGTCGGATTCGTCGAGGTCCAAGAACTCGCGAAGGCGGGCCTGCAGCGCGATTGTGATCGGATCGTCCCACATCGCGTGCTCTGCGGTCAGGGCGAGGTCATCCTCGATGTCGTCCTCTGTCAGTCCGTGACGACGGCGTTTCATCTGACGTCGTTGCGCGCGAGCTTGTTCCTTTGCCTCTTGCGGACCCGGGAGGTCGATCCTTCGGAAGAGTTTGCCGATGGCCTTCGTACTCTCGTAGTAGGCGCCGTCTTCAGGGTTGATAGTCTCGGGCGCGTTCCAGTCGGGCCGAGCTCGCATGAGCAGTCGAGGAACATCACCCAAGGGTACTGACCTGCCACTCTTTTGAAAGTCTACCGCGTCAGAGTGAAGCTGTGAGAGTTTGATGCACTCTGTGCAGAACACTCCTTCCGGGCTTTGGTCTGCGATAATGAGCCAGTTGATAGCGATGACTCCTAGACGCTAGGCCACAGAGAGAAAAAAAATGTCATGTGAACAGCTCGGGGTCTCAGATGAAGACGATGAATACGCACATCATTGTTGATGAAATCGACGACGAAATCCATCACGTCCTCTATAGTGCTGTCTCTGTCGAGTTCCTTCCGAACAGCAGCTTCATAGCTAGCCGGTGGGTGGAGGTGACGCGGAAAGATATCGGCGAACTGCGAAACGTTGAACACATCTCCATCGAGGTCTCCGCCTCCCAAAGCGCTTTTCCGGAATCAATGCGTATCCCAACTCGTCGCACACAATATAGGCACACCTGGGAAGCGGTCGCGATCCTACGTATCCATATTGGTAAGTCGATGACTGTTATATGGGTCTGACGACTACACACCCTTCACTGAGAATATGACGGTGTTGGGTATTGGCTCCGTATCGTACGCACTACCTGGCGGTGGCCGTCCAATTGCTCGGGCCATTTGGACGTCGCCGGGGTGAGCCTTGGACTTACTGAGTATACATATCTCGACGATAGAAGAGTGGCGTACGACAGGGGACCTTGTCACCATCACATTGCCTTCAAGGTATACGCGTTGACCGCCTTGCGGCGGCTGTACACAGGCGAATACCTCACCTTCCTCTAGCACGCCGTGAATATCAGCGATCCCCACGAGCGTCCAGCTATCAGGGACCGGTATCCTGGCATGATGTTTAAGCTCGCGAAGGACATGATTCACCGCGAATGCGACCATCCGATCCATGAATTCATCGTCAATGCACTGTGTCGTTCCTGTGTCGTTGTCCAAGCCAACCCCGAGCTTCTGAAGACCTTGGAAGACCTAAGCGATGGGGGACGTCAGCTACAGAAGCAGGGATGAGAACAAGCCTACCGATGGTAAACGGTAGGCACCGCCGAGACCATGTACTTCGAGCATCCGCGCCGACTTCTGCAGAGACTCGCGGGCTGCCTCAGCTTCTTCAACAGCCGCATCCTGCAACGCCTCGAAAGCAGCTGCTGGGGCGCCAAGCCCTTCCAAGATCATGATGAGCGGCCTGTTCAATAAAAACTTCCCCGGCCTGTCGAAGGTTTTCGCGATTTCGATGTCCAGAGAGTCCGGGGACTCGAATTTGATCATGGACGGCCTCAAACACAGGACACGCCCTTCCTCGTTGATGTCCACGCTCACCATACCTTTCGACCCCGCGAAGCGTATCTGGAAGGCCCTAGGCTTGAAATATTTCCCGCGCTTACGCTTGCGAACAGCCAGAAGAGCGCTCGCTATGTCTTTGGCCAGTGCAAGTGATATTGTTCCGACTCCTGCCAAACGAAAATAGTCAATAGGATCCGCGTACGAGAGAGTCGAGGGCAGGCTACCATCGGTGAACTGGCGTTTCTGTCCTGTGCTGTCGACAATCTCAATGTCGGGTATGCGTTTGATCTCGTTCGGAGTGACCGTTATAGATGGGTCGGTAGCGGTGAACGCTTGAGACATCCGAGCCCCGTAGAGGCTGGGGAACCGTATCACTTTAGTAAACGTTCCTAGGCTCTGGCGAATTGCTTCTGCATCGACGCGGTGACCGTCAAGATTGAAAGGTCGCACAAACCAGACCGCGTGATCCTGAAACATCGCATGTGAGGTCGATAATTTGAACTTCAGAAGAAGAAGAAGCACCTTCAGAGCCGACTGTGAATAAGCCAAGAACTCGAATGCCCTCCCTCCGATTCGGATACCCGTTCGCATGACTCCCCCTACCCTGTCCCTGACAAAGCCATCCCCATCAAGGTCCCGGTCGAAGCGATACTGGAGGTAGTCCTCGTCGCAGAATTGCACCCGGACGAAGTGTTGTTGGTGATTCGGATAGCGTCTGATCACTCGATTCGAGCGATCAGGGTATTGCTCTGATGTTAGAAAGATGTCAGGATAGACAGTAAAACAACAGTGGCATGACACTAACATACCTCGAGGGATAATGGAGGATGGCGTAACCGCTACATGAAGACAGTCGAATATTCCATTCGTCGTCTCCGTGATCCAAGACAAGTTTTCGGGATTGAACTTCTTCGCGAGACGCTTGAAGACTTTCGCGGCCGATTCAGGTATTTCGTACGATTCGTCGGTATAGCTGGTTGTGACATTGTCGGTGAATCTTGCTAGTCGCACTACCAAATATTACTGCTTGCCTTAGCTCTCTGGCCGCTCCTCAATGAACCAAGAATAAGCAGGACTCTGTAATGTTATGTGAGCACTTACCTCCCGCAAAGTGTCTTATGACTTGGCTCGTATACCGTGTGCCCTTGTATCTCAAGAGTCTTGAAACTTCGGGGCGTAGTTCCAGAATCTCCCTCGGCTCTAGTAACAGCTTCCGATGCAAAACCTCCAGGTGGAAGGCGACCATCCATGGGACAGTTTTCAGCCAAGCGTAAAGAGCATCCAAGGCCTCAGCGGAAAAGATATTCCGCCGCTCGATAGGAATACTATAGTTTGATACGCGCAATCCGGCTGCGTTTGCCATGCGGCGGAACTTCTCCTGGTCGCCGAAGGAACGGAACAAGATGCGAACTGCCAACGAGGCAAACGGGGCAACCCGTTGATGATCTCCTCCGAAGTGAGGAACACGCCTTCGGAAGCCTTGAGGTTTCGGGCCGTTCTGGGATAGAAGCCATTGCCTATGGGCCACAAGTTTGGCCATGTCCTCGGTGTCGGTTTCGAAGGAAGGAGGGACATATAGGCTCATGAACGCGGCATTGTCGCTGTCGCTGGTAGAAATGCCCTGGATCTGAGCGTACCTGATCATGTAGTATTGTTTTCTTCGGCGATCGATGAGTGTATGGTTGAGATCCATCCGTCCGAGAACATCCGCTAAGAGCTGTTGAAGGGATTGTGGACCTGCTCCTAGAGGTTCAGAATCATTCTCGCTCTCGTCGCATCCTGCGATACGAATTTGACGAGATTCGCCCTCGAAGGATAGACGGCACGAGACATATGCCTTCTCCCATTCGAGGGAGAAAACCCTGTCCCTACATTCCCATCCGAACTGCAAGGATCGAATTTCCGCAACCTCGGCTAGCTGGGCCATCAACCTATCATGTTCCGCCTTTTTGAGCGGGTCTTGGTATGGCATCCTACGACAATACTCGACGATATCCTGCCGTGGCGGGCGATTACTCTCCTGAAACGTCACCCGACGACCGCTGATGGAGACAGGGCTGATCGGCGTGCTCCCACCATGAACCTGCAAGAACTGCCTTGCAGCCTCGACGATCGGTACAGTGAGAAGACCCGATCCACCGTGTTTCTGGCTGCCTCGCCTCCGTTTGTCGGGAAAAAGGTGTACCTCGAAATTCAGACGAATCCCTCCGTCAGAGTAGCGGGCGTATGGTTCAGAATGAAGGATATCGGCGACGGTTTGCTTGATCTGTTCTGAGGAAGCAGCGTATGCTATTCCCCGCATGAATATATCCATCCTGACCCCTTTTGAATTGGTACTGTCTGTCATTCAAGGAGTCACTATACTATCAACATGCAACAGACAGCTTCATGTCATACTCACAACGGAATGCTAATTCGCAAGAGCGATTTCGTCTAAGGATACGTCGAGAGCAAGGGGAAGCGAGGCAGAGGGATGGGTGGAGCTAGATAAGAGTCAGACTGGTCGACGCGATTGGAGCACTGGTATATCGGGCACAAACCTTGCGAAGCCTAAGAACTGCATTTCGCGTTGCATAGGTAACCGCCTGCCCTAAAACAGTCGAGGATTCAAATGTAATTGCACTGAAGCTATACCTCCCGGGAATAACGACAATGCCAAGCCGGTTCATATGATCAGCTAACAATCATCAGGGTGCTTGACTAGGTTCTAGATCGGGGGCATTCGAATGTCCATCGTCGGCTTCCATTCAGTCGATGACTGTGATCATGATCATGAGATGGCTTCGGCTGAAACTTGCCCTCGAGCAGTGCCATGTACAGTTTATAAGCCTCGTTGTGGCATCCGCACTCGAGTACTTTCTGATGTCGGTAATAGTCATGAAGGTAAACGGTAAAAGAGCGCGCGTGAATGGCGGATTTGCCGGAACGCTCCGAACAGCGCGTTGGCATAGAGGTTGACCGAGTTTGCGAGTGAATATGGGCCTGCGTCCATCTTTCCGCCAGCGCTCATCGATTCACCTTCCCTCCCAGCCCGTTCATGGCCGTGGCCCGGTTCTGCGGCTCTGCAGCGATCCGGGATCGTCATCTTACTACGCCCGCGAGCCAACATCCTTATTCAAGGCATGGCCCATCCAGACATCAGTACTTCAACAAAGTTCTACCATCGTTCCGTAAGGAGTCTTCGATGGTCCGGATAGCCTCGAGAATCTGGATAGTCGTTGTAAGCACGGTACGAATAACGTCAACTGAGTCACGCAACGCTTACCGAACCGATCGCGATGATACCAAAGCTTTTGGAACCAAACACATCGTTCTCCTCTTCGGTTGCCGCAAATTGCCACGCAACCCACGCATTCTTTAGCCAATTGTCCATTGGCGTGTTGTCATCACCAGACAATTCGCTTCGTACGCCGTTAACAAGGATCGTGGCCTGCTCGCGCATCTTGCCCATCACTTCCTTCCGCTTACGTGGCTGCGACGTCTTCGCTACGATGGTCCCGACCAGAACCTCCTCTTCCGTGAGAGACGTCCATCTCCTGCCTTGGACCAGCGAATTGTGAGCGCATATGTTATGCAGCTCGCCGGTGTACCTTTCGAAGAGATCGCCAATGCTGTCCCATTCGGCATCTTCGATTTCATCCATAGCGTCCGCGTCCAGGAATTCGGAGATTCGTGCACGAAGGACGATAGAAATCGGATCCGTGCCGTCGTCTTCCAGACTGAGGTTGTCCATGGCATCCTCCAACGTGAACGTGCCCGGCTGACGTGCCATTTTCTTCCATTGAGGACGACCCTGTACTTCCGCATCTTCAAGCGATGGCAATTGGATTTCCCGGAAGAGTTTCCCGATGGCCTTGGTGCTGGTGTAAAAGTTTGCCCGGTCAGGTTGGATGGTTTCAGGAGCGTTCCAATCAGGCTTCGCTCGGAAAAGGAGGCGTGGTACGAGACTCATGGGCACTGGTCGACCGCTTTTCTGGAAGTCGACCGCATCAGAGTGCAGCTGGGCGAGTTGACACTGCTGGTGACCACCTTTGTCATACATTCTCCGGTACTTGCCTGTAATCTACGGTGCATAAACGGCGACAAGTATATGACATGGCCAGCACCTGCACAGCTAGGATCGCCCATGCCCTTGTCATACGAACATCGACAATTCGCGTATCCGTGACCACACCACGCCCTACAGCGTATGTCATACAGTTTCCGACAGCTTACCACTCAGCCGCGCCGTAGCGTACCTTATGTCATTAATTCTGTCATACAGAATCAGCAACGAATGACTGGCTCCAACCGCCGGTGTCATACATGTTGCGACTCACGCATCCTCGTCTCCGCTTCTCCCGGCTCACCCGCTTCAGCCCTGTCATACATATTGCGAAAACGTTATTAGTTTTCGCCTCAGGTCTAATACTGCTCCAGGTCATATACTACTCCTCTACCTGCTGTCATACATTTCGCGACTCGCACATCAGAGCATGTGTCATACATAGCTCGCCAACAAGCCTTGAATTCGGCCACCCGGATTACCTGCCTGCGCGTTCTGTCATACAGAGCTCGACACCGCCGATACGTCCCTCGTTCATAATTTTCCTCCCTGTCATACATGCCCTCATTCATGAATGACAGTACTTGCCATTCCCTCTGTCATACATCTCCCGACCCTCGTGTCAGCACCTGTGTCATACATACATCGTGAGTGAGTCTCGACTCTGCCCACCCGAATGGCCCGCCTTCGCATTCTGTCATACAGATTCCGACACTGCCGGTACGTGCGTCGATCTCCACGACTCGTGCATCAGAGCATGTGTCATACATAGCTCGTCAACAAGCCTTGAATTCGCCCACCCGGATGGCCTGCCTGTGCACTCTGTCATACAGAGCTCGACACTGCCGATACGTCCCTCGTTCATAGTCCTTCGCCCTGTCATACAAATCCTCATTTGTGAATGACAGTACTTGCCACTCCCTCTGTCATACATCTCCCGACCCGTCCCTGTGTCATACATACGTTGTTAGTGAGTCTCGACTCCGCCCACCCGGATGGCCCGCCTTCGCATTCTGTCATACAGAATCCGACACTGCCGGTACGTGCGTCGATCTTAATCCTCCACCACGTCATATGAGCACTCAGGCTTGAATGACAGTGCTATACCATCTCTGTCGTACATATCACGACTCTCGCATCAGTGTCCGTGTCATACCTCGCCAACAAGCCTTGAACTCGGCCACCCGGATGACCTGCCTGCGCGTTCTGTCATACAGAGCTCGACACCGCCAATACGTCCCTCGTTCATGATCCCCCTCCCTGTCATACAAGCCCTCATTCATGAACGACAGTACTTGCCACTCCCTCTGTCATACATCTCCCGACCCTCGTGTCAGCACCTGTGTCATACATACATCGTTAGTGAGTCTCGACTCTGCCCACCCGAATGGCCCGCCTTCGCATTCTGTCATACAGATTCCGACACGTACGTACGTCGATCTTAACGACTCGCGCATCTGAGCATGTGTCATACATAGCTCGCCAACAAGCCTTGAATTCGCCCACCCGGATGGCCTGTCTGTGCACTCTGTCATACAGAGCTCGACACTGCCGATACGTCCCTCGTTCATAGTCCTTCGCCCTGTCATACAAATCCTCGTCCATGAATGACGGTCCTAGCTATTCCCTTCTGTCATACCGCTTCGGACTCATGTCAGCGCCTGTATCATACATACCTCGTTAACAAGCCTTGACTCCGCCCACCCGGATGGCCCGGGTCCTGTCATAGACTTTGACCGGACTCGGTGTCACATATTCATTACATTACTGCTTCAGCTCACAGACCCGTGGCAGACACCTCATATTCTTGCTTTATCCCGGAGTTCAATCCCGACGCGCGCCCCAAGCTCCAGCATTCCTTGTGAGGTCATATTACTTGCACGAAGCACAATTAAAGATGGAATATGAGTCCGCACTATACTTACAGGACTCATAAACACTATGGCACACGGAATGTGACACGAGCAGCTA